CCATCCAAACATTAATCAGGCTTGGGTCCCTCTCCTTAGGTTTGGAAACCGATAAGATTGAGGTGTATTCAGTGTTCACTGATAGTATATAATATTGCAGAAGAAACTGCAGAAGGATGGCTTTTCTTTTTTCCGTGACCAGCAATCCTCAAATCTCACTGCCTTTTACCTCCCCAACCCCCAGGGATCCTCAGATCTCAACAGGCAGGGAGCTGCACACTGAGATGTGCATGTGGAAGGCTTTCTGTGTGTCTTTGTGTGAGAGCACCTGTACACATATGAATATACATTCCCAGGACTAGAGGTGGTCCTTGGGGCTGAAAACATTGCGCTCTACTGCCATGGGATATAATAATAACTGCCCATTTCTTTGTGTCACCATGGAAGAATCTTGTGGTACAGCTGTACTGTTAAGACGACTTGAAACAATGTTAACTCATTGTGTTTTTTTCTGCTAATTATGTATGTAAGTGAACAAATATTTCCTCTACACATTTTCCCCCTGACGCTAACGTTTTTTTATTCCTATTAGTATAAACATCCAAAACAGAAGCCTATGTATGAAGTAATGTGACACAGAGTGCCAAGGTGTAACAATAAACAGGCATGACTTGTTATGCCTCTTTGCCTTGTTAGAGAACCGAAATACCCTTCCTGAAATGGATTGTTTTCAAAGCACCAAAGGAATCCAGTCTTTCTGGATATCTCTCTGTGTTTATAATCTACATATAGCACATGTAATTCTCCAAGCTGTGAAGCATCTTCTGCAGGTTGCCATATGCTGAATCCACACTACAGCTCTTAAATCACTGACTCCACTCCTTACCTACTTATGTACAGTATTTAAAATATTTAGACCTTGCCTTTCACCTCAAGAGGACGCAAGGCAGCTTACAATGTTAAAAACTTAAACAGCAGTGGCCCGATTTTTAGGAACCTCCTCGTAGGCAGATAGTCACTGAGGGGAAAAAACTGCCTAAAGAGAAAGATCATTTGCCTTTTGGGGGACAGACAGCAAAGAAGGAACCAGCTTGGCATCCTTTGGGAGGGTGTTCTACAGCTTGGAAGGAGGTACAACGAATGTTAATACCTTCAAAATTTTATGCAAACATCCAGAGGAACTGAGCATTCATTTTATAAACAGAATCTACTGTATGTTAGAAGAACTTCGGGATAGCTCAGTAGTTTAGGTATCTGGCTGTAGAACCAGAGTTTGGGATATCAGTTCCCCACCGGGCCTCCTAAAGAGGGGCTGGACTCAGTGATTCTTAGGGTCCTTTCCAACTCTCCCATTCTAAGATTATGACTGCAAATAGTTGGCCATCCAGGGACGTGGTGGCGCTGTGGTCTAAACCGCAGAAGCCTGTGCTGCAGAGTCAGAAGACCAGCAGTCGTAAGACTGAATCCATGTGGCAGAGTGAGCTCCCATCGCTTTGTCCCAGCTCCTCGTCAACCTAGCAGTTTGAAAGCATGTAAATGCGACTAGATAAATAGGTACCACCTCGGTGTTAAGGTAAAACGGCTCCCTAGTCACGCTGGCCACGTGACAACGGAAACTGTCTTTGGACAAGCGCTGGCTCTACGGCTTGAAAACGGGATGAGCACCGCCCCCTAGAGTAGGACACGACTGGACTAAAAATAACGTCAAGGGGAACCTTTTCCTTTACCTTTAGTTGGCCATCCACAAAAACTTGAGTATTGTATGATGATCTTAAAAATTATTTTTAGTGATCTATAAAGATATCACTTATTCTTACATTTTATTATATTGCTGTTGTTGCTTTTTGCATTGACCACACGGCTCCCCATTATTTCACTGTAAACAGCTGTTTGTAAGAGATAGGAAACATTGCTTTTTGGACTACAATTCCCAGAATCTCATGGTTACCTAGCGTATGATTTCTGGGAATCGTAGTCCCAAGAGCATCATTCCCACATCATCATGACCAAAGGGTACTTTTAAAAACTCCCCAATGTAATAGCTATTCTAAAACAACCAGTCTCCAAAATGCACCATTTGGCTGTATAGAAAAGCTTATGCCATTGTCTTCCTATAAATCGCTAAGGTAAAAGCTAATCTGAATTTATAAAGTGTTGAACAGGGCGAAAGTAAAAATATACTGCATTAAAAATAGTTTTGTAGAAGAGTACAGTACAGGTAGGAATTATATGATTCATAATCCAAAACATTAGGAGAGCCAAAGACTCCCCAACCCTGATTTAGTGCAACATGCAAACATAGCCAGCAACTGCTAAGCCGTCAGTGTCATGAAAGGAGCTGTTGCTGGCTATGCAAAATAGGATTGTGGGATGAGAAGGGGCAACGGGAGGCTTAGAATAGAAATGGGAAGGCAGAGAGCTGCAAAGGCAACTATTACAGAACACATGATGTTCCCTGAGTTGAATATAGCAGTGATAGGGTCCTATTTTTTAAAATAATTAATATAATTCATTATTGGTAGACAATGAAACTAAAGAGTGCCTCTTGAACATCACAGACTCTTGTGTGGAACCTCCATTTCCAGGGCTGACCAGCCTCTAGACCTTGAAATATAGAAAGATTAAAAAAAAATAAATCAGGAACTGGGCTGCATTTCATGACAGACAGCACAACAGTGGTTGTGTTGTAGCCTATTATTTGTAACTACCTGTTCCTGACTGTGTTTAGAAAATGGAATCACAAAACTGGCAGAAAAACAAAAACAAAGGCCGACCTCATTTCCTGCTCTAAAAAAATACCTGTGGTTCTCTATTATACTCAGCAAGCATTAAGGTGTGTGTGTGTGTGGGGGGCACTCTTTTTCTTGGCACTGGGTTTTGATTGCACACAATGAGTCAGAACTCAAATTACATGTTTAGGTTTCATGGAATATAGGGCAGGACAACTGCTTGACATCATCCTAATTACTGCTTTAAAAGGATTTACTCTTGCCATATATGACGATTTACTATTGAATTATGCTTCTCATCTTTACGTTGATACCCATCTATACTTCTCTAGGTCCTCACAGCCTGTTTCAGACATATTTCAGACACTGAAAAGCAATGTACAGATTTTCACTAACCTGTGAACTCCGTTTGTAATATCAGAGATGGCATCATCAATAATTATGTCAGAAGGTTACTGGGAACCAGACAGCTCAAATGTACAGTATACTGTATTCTTAATAATGTTGCTGGAAACAGTGTCATCATGTTATGAAACAGAGCTGGCATATAAAGCTGCCTTACAATGAATCAGACCATTGGTTTGTCTAGACCTCAGCTTGGAAAAGCTACCTTTTGGACGATGATGGACAGGTGATTCTGGGAGCTGGAGTCCGAAAAAATCCCTCATGATCCAACTTTGGCAAAGTCTAGTCTATACTAGGCACACCCTCTCTGACTTAATACGCTAATCTAAGATATCTTTCCCAGTGCTACCAAATAGGTTTTTAACTGATGACACCAGGGACAAAACCTAGGTTCTACGGTGTGCCAAGAATATTCTCTTTGCCATAGACATCAAAACTACATGTTACAGATGACAAGGCATTAAGAGAAGGAATCTCTTTAGCTCTGAGAAACTCTCATTGTCATAACAGGAATTTTTTTGCACCTTGACTGGTTAACTAGCTCACTTTGTTTTGTGGCTGATCATTAGGAGGTAAGCACAAGCTTCATTTGCAAATATGATTGTCAATCACGAACATCTGCCAGAATCACATTCTGGAACACTAAGATTCAGCTTCTAATGATGCACTATCTGTAACGTGTAGTTTGACCCTTAGCCATGGATATCTTGTTGCATCTTCCTCCTAGATGGGTGGACATGACATGAAATATCCAGGCAGGTTCTCAAGGTTAATCCTATACCCATCCTAATTTTATGGAGTTGTTCAACAGTCAGTCCACAGAATTCAGTGACACTATAATTATTTCCAGATAAGTATGCACAGGATTGCAAATATGAATCACAATATCCATCCTGTGCATATCTGCATAAAAATAAGACCTGCCGAAGCTCTCTAACATAGCCTTCCCCAAACTGGTGCCCTCCAGATGCTGTAGACTTCCACTCCCGTCAGTTACAGCTAGCATAGCAAATGCTCAAGAATTCTAGAAGTCATTGTCTAAAACATCTGGAGGGCATGAGAGCAGAGCTACTCCCCCCGCAAGGGAGTTTAGAAATGTTGCCTAAATATAGGAAGTGACCTATCTGTGCAACATTCAAGTGGAATCTGCATATAGTTTCAGTGTTTGACTCTACAATAGTAAGGTTTAAAAATAAATCTGGAAAATGTGTTTTAGTACTGTAATTATTCCAAGACCTATTGCCTGGAGGAGCAAATAATAATTTACCTGCAAACAACATTAGCACTAATGAGACTCAAGAGATTCATGCAGCAGTTCTGGCATAACAAGTTTGTGATTGGATTTTATTAAGAAACACCTCCATATTCTCCCTCTCTCTCTCTCTCTCTCCACACACACACACACACACACTTATTTGCTTGTCTTTTCTAGTAGTTTAAAGAAGTCTAATTTCAATTCATTCACCAATGTTAGTAAAGAGAATGGAATACAGTATTAACTTCAACGTTTAGTTCTTGAAACACTTTATTGTGAATTAAAACTACTGTACAGGTTGGAATCCTGTTGCAGAAATAAGAGTGTAAGAGCAATTGTGTAAATTTGGTATACAGCCCACTGGAGGGGAAAAGCTGCCAAGAAATTATTCTTGTGCTTAGAGTTGTTCTTAATTGAATTCGAGCCACAGACTTTTATTCCCATGTAACCAGTTTGATCAGCGTTCCTAGTCTTGCCAGAAGATTGACATAACTCTAGGCAAATCACAAGCTCTTGACCACAATTCCAGCCCAGCTGTAAAATGAGAATTATACTATGCCACATCCCTTGAAAGAGTGTTACAATCACCAGACAGATAAAACTACACACTACAACTGTCAAAAGGATATTTTGAGTTACTTTTTACTAACTTTTCTCCCTACCATTTACAGAGTTGCCACACCTTTTGGTGGTTTCGAGAGAGCTTCAAAGCTGGTTAAGTTCAAGGTTCCAGACTTCAACTTTCTACTGCTAAATGATCCACGATTCATGGTCCTTGCCAATCCCCTTTCTACCAGGCGGTCCTTCAACAGGACTCCTAAAGGATGGACCTCTGAGAATATACCTATAATGATTACTATACAGCCTACAGAGGTCAATGTTGTTCCAGAAACAGAAGATCTGTGAAAATAACATGAAACAAGCATTATACATCAGAATCAGCATGGTGGTATGCTGCTAACATGTGCTACTTCTGCTCCAACATTCTCTTTCATAGAGTTGAAATCCAGTAACATCTGCGGTTGTAATTGTTCTCTGGAGTTAATGTTTTTCTGCAGATCTAACACAAATAAAATAACTTGGCCATTACTCTTGAAAAACTACTTTTGATTCTTTTGTTCCTATGTGTTCTAACTCTCCATTATTAAAGTCAAATCTGAATTGACATTACATGGCTGCATGTTCATATTAAGATAGTGACGGTAAAAGATTTATTCATATTATTAGTTTGTTTATCAGTTCTGGTTCACTTCTAGGGAAGCAAGCAGAGAGCTTATAATGCAGAAACATATAAAAAATATATAGCAAGCTGACAGCATACAAGATAAGGAAGTATTGTGAATAGATTTAAAGGCATCGAATCATACTGTAACGCAAAAGTGTATTCAGGCAGTACGTCCACATTTATTACCTCCACTCTTTGCGATGGGTCTAGGCACTCCCTTCACTGATCTGGAAACAAGAATATTTCATATGTGGATTTTCTAAAATAATATCAGAAAGCTGAATTTTACTATATGTTTAACTGTATCTGGCAGGTTATGAATGTAAGCAGTTGTGGCCATTTTTTTAGCACATAATTTCAATTTTGCAAAGGAACTTTTAACACACAATGGCTGAAAGTATGTTTGCAGAAACTGCATCGTGTAAGGTTGATGTTAGCAGCTATAGTTATTTTTCTTAAAGACTTCTACCTCCCCCCACAGCATGTCCTGAGGCTTTCCTCCTGGGCACAGGATGGGGCAGAACTCTTTAATGTCAAAAACCTGCTACTGGAATAATTTTACTAGCAGACAATAAAGAATCCCTTCATGGCCGTTGTCCTGCAGCCCTCAATAGCTTCCCAATGATGAAATGAATCCAAAGAGATTCTCTGGACATGGGTGGAAGAAGCTGGAAGTCCTTAATTTATATTTAAAAAATTATCATAGCTGACGACTTCACCAATCTCATACAAAGTTCCATGAACAGCCATTCAGTCTATGAATTTTCAAACCAATTTATGTACAGTATTGTATTTACAATCCCAAGTAAGCAGCACAGCATCAGATATATCTTATTTGTGAACAGATCGGTGTACAGACTTCTCCATAGTCAACCTACACAATGCTGTATAAAGGCTGTACAACCACACAAAAATGATAACTGTATATGACAAAACTGAAAATTTGTGAGTTGGATTTAGATATTTGTCATACTCAGCACAAGCCTTTAACAATCAAGCTAAGTCTGTCTCATCCCAACTAATTTTGGAGCCATCCATCACAGAGTGTGAGTATATATAGACAGATGGATGGACGAACACACATGCATGCCATGTATAAAAGATTAAGCAAATAAAATGCTTCATCAACCTGCCTTTCCAAGTAGTTTTGCCATGGTGGCGATAATGTACACGGATATGTCTGTGAATCACTGAACACCAGAAGTTACGGAGATGACATAAGATAAAAAAACAAAGTTTTGCTCCACCTTACAGAGCAGCAAATGTGATAGAATTTTTTTGTGATCCTGTTCCATTAGATACATGATACACAGCTGTGTATGTGCGAAACCTAGAACGTGATGGAAAACCTGTGGGGGAAAAGAACATAGAGAAGAAAATTTGTGAAAGAGAGATGTGAAATAGTTGGGAAACAACTGAGAACTTATCATGAGGGTAATGATGAAACAGCAGCTGACCTTCCTTCTGCTTTTGTTGATGTCACTGGCACTTCCTGTGTTTGACACTGTATTGGAAGATGTGGAATCAAAGAGCTAGTGACCCTTTAGTTAGAAGCCAACACACTGAAAGTTGTGTGCATGGAGAGGGTCACAGCACGTTCTGAGCACCCTTGAGCAACCAGTCCCTAAACATAGCGAATAAAAACATGTCCTGTGATTAGATAAGGAATTGTGAGTAGAGCATTTGACCACAGAAGATTTGCCTAAGGCCTTCGAGCCACAAAAACTGTGGGAAATTCATGTGATGCAGAGTCCAGCCATGTCAAGTTAATTGGTCTGCTTTTCCCAGGAGCTTATTACGTACTCATAACAACTCCTAATTGCTAGGAACGAGAGGAGCCACTCAGTTGGGTTCCAGTTCACTCTTTCTCTAGGCAACAAGCCTATTTCTGTTTTTCCTCTGGGCTTGATTTCTACAGTATCTTGCTGCTGCCTTCCTGCTGTGGAGTACCCAACATCTTTGTTGCTATCTTCCAAAGTAGCCTGCCTCCAGCAGCACTCCTGCTTGATGATTCCAGTTTTGTCTCCTGCTGAGCTTACATGCAAATAACCTTTTAATATGTAGCAATTCCCTTGATCCTTCAGCCTTTAAGGCAAGGGTGAGGATTCCACTGCTTTCTGCTGCAGCTCCTAACAGTTTTAGCCAACACAACCAATGATGTGGCTTTGGAGAGTTGCAGCTAAAAATCTTCTGAAGGTCTACAGGTGCCCATCCATGCTTTGGGAGTTGATTTAGATTCCCTCTCCAATCTTTGATCTAGGCTTGGAGAATTATCCTTCCCCATACCTCACTCTGAATCACACCTGATGCATCTTCCTGATTTCTTCCACTGTCAATCCTACTGTTGCATTATTCTTTTCCTGCCTGCGACACTGCAAATGCTACCTGTGTTGTTAAAATTTCGAAAAGGCTTGTCTGTTAAATATTCAAAAGCAAATTTCATTTACCTATGGAGGATGTCTGCAGTCCAATCCTATTCATATTCATTCAGAAACACACTCCTTGCAAACAGTGGGCCTAAATGCCACAAAAAATGCACCCAGTCATTTTGTGGCACTGATGCTGCAGTCCTATGCACATGTATCTGGCAGTAAGATTGACTGAACTCTGTGTGATTTGCTTCCAAATAAATGTCCCTAGGATTTGAATGTATGTTGGTCTTAGCAAAACATGGATAACAAATTGGTGCTAACATTGCAAAAGGTTGATAACGAAACATTTCAGAAGCTGAAATTCAGGCAAAGTTTAATGAAGTTGTTTTAAGAGAAAATACATTTTTTTAAAAAATATAAACCAAAATATTGAAATAGATAGACCACTATATAAAGAGATTTTATATATTTACAGTATTTTTCTTGTTCTGATGTGTGAAAACTTACATAGTTCAGAGTGCACTAAATACATGCTTCCTTGGGACTGAATACAAATGAATTTATACCATGTGAGAAGATATATGTTGGGATGAACAGTAAATTTGCCTTGGCAAGGTATATATAATAAAAATGCAAGGGGATTTTAATGTAATGAGAATGGGATCCTCCTACATTTAATGCAAAAAAAATTTTTTTTTACAGATAATAGGCTCTCCTTCACCAAAAGCATATATAATCTGCATAATTGTACCAACAGCTGCCTGCTAAGTATATTCCTAAGAACACAGTAATGCAACCTCTCAACAGGTGGGTAAATCAAGATTCATACTTCAGCACACTAGTAAAATGCAGTGGTTCGATAATGCTACCTGTCATTTTCTGCAGCTAGAATCCTATTCGTTATTTATGCCTGTGCAAGGGCAAACGCATAAACTGCACGGATAAATTGCTGCTGGCTCATGAGCTAACCCCTTGTATTCTTCCTTGCATGACTGGCCTAAGCAAGGAATAAAAGTAGCAACCTACAGTAATTTGCTACTCCAATTTACACCACTGCACATATGCTGGTATAAACAACTAATGTGGTCCTGGCTACAGTAAAGTACAGTAAATCTATTTACTCTAAATGTCCCCCACCACATGTCTACTTTTTAATGTTACTTTTATTCTTATTTCTTTCTTTCCTTGAACAATCCATGATGTGTGATTATGAAAAGAAATAAAATTAGTTTTCCATATAGTGTCTACTTTATTGCATTCAAATTTGTTAAAATCAAACTCAGGTTAGATTTGGACATATATTTAAGACATTCCACAACACAAATGGGAATATTACAGAATTAGGGATACTATGGCAAACTTCTCCCTCCAACTTGGATGTATATAAGGTCTGTGCACATCCTCACAATAAATAGGGAATGGATGGGAGAGGGAAAATAAGTGTTCCAAAATATCAAAGACTCTACCTGTAATCTATGGGATTACAAAGCACTATGGAACATCCAGAGAACTGATCTTCTGAGATCAATCATTCTGGATAAACAAATTATATATTATCTTAGGAACCTGCCTTTCCTTCAGTAAGTTCAATAAGGTACATGTGGCTCTCTTCCTCCACATTTCATCCTTATACAGTGGTGCCTCGCATAACGATTTTAATTGGTTCAAAAAAAAACGTTATGTGAAACATCGTTATGTGAAACTCTATTTTCCATAGGAATGCATTGGAAACCGGTTAATCTGTCCCAATAGGCACGGATTGCCGTCCTTAAGCGAAAAAACCCATAGGAAACATCGTTAAATGATACAATGTTTCCTCCATTGGAATGTATTGAAGCCGACTCAATACATTTCAATGGCTTTGCGAAGTCAATTTTTGCAAATTTAAGTGTGTCATAAAAGGATCAAAAATGGTTTTAAATGCTTGGATTAGCTTCTGCACCCTCTAAAACGGATGCAAAAGTTAATTTGGCTTTGATCTGACTTTTCGTTAATTTATGGTGAATTTTTTTCCCCCCAACTTTTGACAGCTGTCAAAATCTGACAGCTCCATTGTTTCCTATGGGGGAAGAAAAAATTCACAAAAAATTAACGAAGACTCAGCAACTGTTCTAAATGCTTGGGTTCGTTAGAGGACCCCCTAAGTCATGTGCAAACCTGATTTGGCTTTGATCTGAACTTTCGTTAATTTATGGTGAATTGTTTTCTCCCCCATAGGAAAGCATGGAGCTGTCAGATTTTGACAGGTCCATTGGTTCCTATGGGCCGAAAAAAAAAATCACCATAATTTAACGAAATCAGATCAAAGCCAAATCAGGTTTGCACATGACTTAGGGGGTCCTCTAACGAACCCAAGCATTTAGAACCGTTTTTGACCCTTCTAAGACACTTTTTAAGTTGAAAAATAAACATCGTTAAGTGAAGCAGGGGACCTAAAATTGCATTCGTTATGCGAAGCATGGTCCCAAACTTCGCTAAGCGAAAATCGCCCATAGGAAACATCGTTATACGGTGCATATTATTTTCTAAAAAACCACATCGTTATGCGAATTCATCGCTAAACGAGGCACTCGTTAAGCAAGGCACCACTGTAATACACTTGTGAGGTAAGTCAGGCCCAGAGAGAGAGAGTCAAGGTCATCCACAGAATTTCAGGGGCTTAAGAGTGGAGAGGAACCTGTATAACCCAACCAAATCCAGCACTATGACCATGATGGCAAACTGGATCAACCCTTATTAAGAAGAGGGGGAAAATGATGAAAGAGAATGTGGTACGGTCCTAAAGGATGAAACCAACATATGGATGCTACAGTTAAAAATGATAGCCAATACACAAAAGGTTCATCTGGAAGAAACCTGACCCTCTGTCATGATTAAATGAAGCAATCTGTTCTGGCCTAGGAATGAGTCATGTTTTCACACATTTCTTTCCCATGTCTCTTTTCATCTCCCAACTTCAGTACTAAGATCGTTTCTTGATTAAAGCAGTTTTGTTATACATAAACTGGGAAAATGTAGTTTTATCACTTTTTATCACAATATGAAACCTGGCTTAGACATGCTTTTTCACTTAATTTGCAGTCTTCCTTACCATTAAATATGCTCAGTTTGCTATCTATTTTTATATTCTTCTGCCTGCCTATTATTGATTTATTCTTTTCTGATACTTGCTGATTGGACACTCTCTCCCTTCTGTGTCACCTGTTATATCACAGCTCTGAATTTTAGCTTCCAGGTTATTTTGTACATTTTTTAAGGAAAAAATTCTCTGACTGTCCTCTAGGTTAGTTTAGTTGCTGCAGTTATACTTGTAAATACTTTTAAAATGTTCAATCTTCGGTTCCCCCCCCCCCTTTGTGAGTGTTCCCCAGTAGCCAAAACAGCAGCACACACAATACGCCTTGTCCTCACTGTTTATTTCAATCCATGTTGACTTTACCTTCATCTTGCCTCCGGCTTGTTTTTTTAAAAATCTTTTTCTAAGTTCCTTGAAAATGTTTAGCATGTACTTACCAGAAAACTTTCCTTTCTTACATCATCTAACATTTCCAACAAGGAAAACAGATTATTTTCTTTCCTTATTCCAGGCTATTTAACAATGCACATGGAACATGCCTAAATAGAAACACACAAAAAAGGAGAGAATAAAACTGCTTATACTGCACAAGTGGATTATTTTTTAACTCTAGCGATCCAGTTTTCAGTTCTGTCATAGGGATAAGATGCTCACACAATTTTCTAAGGAAGATGCAAAGGATGAAAAGATCACTTAGTTAAGGTCTAACACTTGTTCTGTTGTGTCAGTACCACACATTTTTCCATGAGAGAACGTCCTTCTAAAGTGCCAAACTCCCACATTGTGCAAAACAACAAGAACCTTACAGCATAATGGAAGAATGCATAGTACTGTATTACAAAAGTGTTTTCCTGATAAAACATAGCAAGTGTTAGACCTGAAATAAGTGATCTTTTCATCCCTTGCATCCTCCTTACAAAATTGCTGATATGGTCCAGTTATTTCTCCTAGGATATTGGCCAGCAAGGCATAACTACTGAATAAGGGGGAAAAGAGCCAAAAGGCATTACCCCGGAGAGTTCACTTCTTGGTGCAGATGTCATACTGCTTAGGCCAGCTGAATTATAAAATGGAGCTTTGTACACTGCACAATGAATTTATTTATAAGGCTATTAACCATAATAGAGATATAGGATACAAGAATCAAACCACAAAGATAACTCAATCATCATCTTCATAATCATCTTAAAACTGCAGGGCTGGAAGGGACCCTATGGTTCATCAAGTCCTATCAAGGAGGCAGTGAGGAATTGAACCCCGAACCATACCTAAACCACTAAGCTATCCAGCAGTTCATGAATATTATCTTCAGAGATGAAACAAATATGTATTTATAAATCACCAGAAGAAGGGACTGGCAAACCACCTTATTCTTAGGAAACCCTGGCAAAGGGTTGTCATAAGTAAGAATTGATTTGATATCAATTATTAATTATTATTATTTAAAATGACCATATATATTTGGTTGTAACAATATTCATATGTATTACTTCAGAAAGGTTTGCATTCTTCCTGAGGTATGAAATGTCCACCCACTACCACCTGAGCCAGTTGATTCCACCATCATGTGACTCCCACTGTGAGCAATTTTTCTTGAAACTTGGAATAATTACTTCCGGTCCTAACCTTTTGAGCTGCAAAAACCAAGCTTGCTTCATCTTACAAATACTTCAAATACAGCTATCATACTGTCTCTCAATCTTCCTTTCTCCAGGCCGAACTTGCCAGGTTTTCTCAACATTTCCTTTCAGGGTTTAGGTTTTGAACCTTTTACCATTCTAGTTGCCTCCTCTAGACATGTTCCTTCTCAATATGCTTGTTAAACTGTGCTGCCCAGAACTGGCCACAATACTCCGTGCCTCTCCAGGTTTTTCTCTCCTTCCTTCACATTTCAGCAATAATTTCCTCTTTCTTTAAGGCCTATGAGTGTTTCCACAGCAATCTTCCTCATTTATTTCTCCTTTTAAGATCTTGGATTCTTTGTATGCCTCACCGCAATTACTTCCTGCTGCCTCCAACTGCTCTTTTCTTTGATTTCTGATTCATAACTCCATGGCATCATACTCTGCACTCTTCCTTGATGCACTCCACATCCAGCTTCAACTCTTTGGACACCCTGAAATTCAACATACCTTCTACAGTTCTTACTGCCCCCGGGCCTTGATTTCTCAGCCACACTAATCTTATTTCCCTCAATTTTTTTGCTTGTTTTGCAACCATTCAGTAGTTCAATTGCATCATCTGTGTCACTAGAAAGCCCACAAATATTCCATGATGTCACCATTGACTATGATAAAGAAACCACATTTTATGCAGCTTAATTTGAGGCCAGGCTTTACAGGTCAGAGGGTGTGACTCCAATTGTGTTTCCTCTTCTGAGCACCAGGAGGAGAAAATTAAGGAAGGCAGGCAGATACATAGAACTCTGCATAATATTGAATCATATCTTCAGTGGGTCTACAGGGTTTCAAGTAAGAGTTCTTCCAGCCCTCTCCAGTTTAAAAAAAGAGAAAAAACAGGGGAGTTGAGGACATGACAGTTTGGAGATCAGTCACTGTCATGCAATAGGGAGTGTCAAATTTAATGCTACTGCCATAGGGCATAGGAGCTACACTCTTGTTGCCCTACAACTGGTGATGGCTCCTCAGTAGCAACTAGCCAAGGTGACACCACTGAGGCTTCAGCAGACAAGGTGCCCTGTGGCAACAGATTTGACTAGGGAGGATGAATAAAGTCACAAAAAGTGGATGTGTCTATGAGAGGTCACATTAAAAATAATTAAGTTACATCTTTAAGGTGCCACCACGTTTTTGTCTTTTTAAAACTTGCTCTTTTTTAAAAAATGTTTTTACCTATAATACAAAAAGATAAAGCATTTTGGGTGCGAACCACTGAGGTATCAAGTTCATTCCAGGCGGTGCAAGATTTGCCCCATACATTTCTGAATACAGTAAAAAAAGTAGCATGGCGGGGTGGGGAGATTGGTTGTCTGCTGAAAAAAAGAACATGCCTGACGATCGTAAAACAGGAACTCAAGGAAAATAGATCCTCAGCCCAAGAGACTGTTGATTTCATCCCCTTTTAAGTTGTTTCCTTTTGCATCATCTCGAGCACCGGCAGCATTTCAATCCAGCCTTGGGCACGGCTCTTGCGGGACGATAGGACCGAGGAGGAGGAGGAGGAGGAGGAGGAGGAGGGCAAAAACTAGCTTTTGGATTGGTTCCTCCTGCGATGACATCGCAACCCGTCTCTTCCAATCCTTTCCAGCGTACGATCCCTACGGCCTCCCTCTCCCTCCAATCGGAGCCCATCTTCTCCTTCGCCGTCTGAAGTCATCCGAATTAGCAAGAGCTTGCTCCAGATAGACGACTTTGCCCCCGCCCACATCAGTCAGCTGACACTCTCTCTCTCTCTCTCCCCCGGCGCGGGCTCGCGCTCAACCCGCGCGAGAACTGTCCGGGTTTGTTGTCCTCCTGCTGCATCGCTCCTTACCCCTCCCCTTTCCTCCCCCCCAGGAGCAAAGGGTGCGCGAGCGCCGCTCGGAGCGGCAG